GGGGGGGACCAGACAAGAGAAGAAAGGGAATGCTGTGGGATGAAGCCATCGAGCCGGTCTCTTCCAAGATGCTCTGTGGATCTGGGGTGAAGCAGCTTGTTCATCGAGGCATAAGTGCAGCGGTAGAGCGATTTGCAATTGGACAAGGTCCTCTTCTTTGAGGCATCGCGGCTGGACAGGGGCACAGAGGTTGAGAAGCACAGAAGAGAGATTCAAGGACCTGCGCAGCCGTCGAGTCTGCACGTCAGTAGTAAAGAAGGACAAAGAATCTGCGAGGGACCGGCTTCTGTCACGCAACGCCCAAAAAGGTGCAAAGCGCACAAATGATCACCCAAATGATGCCAAGATTGCAGTTGGTGCTCACTCAGGTGAAGTTGAGTAACGGGCTGCTGTACTACTGTTTGTCGCACATCGCTGCTGGACGGGTCGTTCCGTTTCGATTTCCGATACTCCCGAGATGTCCCCTCTTCCCTTCTCGCCGCGCTTGCATGCTAGGGACTGCCGCACGGACGCAAGGAAGAGCTCGCGACTGCCAGGGGTGCTTCTGATTGCCTGAGACAATACAGATGCCTGCCTCAGGGCTCTTCGTCAGACCATTCTCTCTCTCTCGCCCCCTTTCAGGCGGATAATTATGAGTGACACAAGACTGCAGCACGGAAAAGTAACGGGATGTTTCTCACCCAGAACGGGGAAGGAATGAGATAGCTCAGCCTCGTCTCAAGCACTGAGGAAACTGACTCAAAAGCGTGCATTCTCGGCTGAGATTGAAAGCGGGACGCACTGTGCACTGTCTTCATCGCCAGCTCGCCGCAGAATGTCATCTTACGCATTGCATCCTTCAGCCGCGCTCGTGGTTGCATCAAGCCCCGAGAGATGAGCCTGACATACAGTATTATAAGGTAGTAACCTTCGGCCCCGAGCGACTTGTGAAGTACCATGTGAAGATGCGGATCGTGCTTAGTTCCCTGCCACCAGGCTCGTGAAGGGGTCACGATTGCTCGTTCTCAACCCAGTACCAGCCCAGCGGCTTTAAGTCAGACACAGGTCGTCGCTACGTGTAACACCTGCCTGCGAGCTCTGTGCTTTAAGGCACTGCAAAATTCTGTAGCTGGCGAGGAATATCCACAGAGCACTGCGGAAATACCCGTGGGTAGACAGGGTGCCTGACCGCATTTGCAGTCACTCTGAGACTGCGATAGTGTCGCTGATGGCTCGAGTGGTGGTGTCAAGCTACGAGCATGTGAGATACGTGAATAATGAGCATTCTGTGTTGCGCCGCGCAGAGGCACGGTATGAGAGATTTTTTGAACGAGGAAGAACCGTGTCGGCGGAGGCCTATAGCTCCGGCTCTACCCTACGAAGCTTTCTTGCGACGCCTCTACTTCAGTGCCGCTCAGAGCCGGCTACCTCAGCTGGCATTTCCGACACTGTTCATAGGTGTGCACATTTGACGCCTTGCAAAGAGCTTGAACGCTGATGCGGCCCACCGTTTCCAATGGGGTATCGGTGGATGCTGTTTCTGCTCGGCGCAATATGTGCATCCGGGCCTTCACTGCGTGTCAGCCCCTACACGGCGTACAATCCAACGCGGCATGGTCGCGAAGGCTGTACTACGGGCGCCACCTCAGAAGTGCGACGCACGACCGTTGTACTCGCACTTGACTCACTCTGTAATTAGGTTCACTGAGCTTTGCGCTCACTCGCACGGAGTGTAGACAGAAGCACCACAATCTCTCATTCTCATCATTGTCAGTACACCCTTTCGATCGCGTACAACTCTCTGACGGCTGTCACCTAGTTCCAGTGTCGCAGCATCTACCGTCGCAGACTCCAACAAAGCTTACATGACCGATGCTACCAGGCACAACTGTGCCAAATGTGCCAAGAAGATTCAATCAAAGCAACAAGGCGTGCCTGTCTCCCGATTTCTACTGTGGGTACTGACTGAGAGGACCAAAGTGTACTGGAAGACCGCGGAACACTTTGCCTCGGGCCCCCCTAACTCCGTCGCGCTCTGCAAGCCGAATTTTGTTATTTTTTGGTGCGGCTTTTCGTGACAAATTTTTGGGTTGCATTGCCGGGAAAATATGTGGCGCCAACATGCTAGACGGATATCGCCATTTCGGACAGCTGCCACAGCTGACATGGTCGTTGAGGGGATATGCTTGAGCCTCGCCGATCCTCCACCTTACGATTTGGAACCGCGGCCGCCTTTCCAGTCGACACGGCCCTGTGCGATTTGTGTCCGCGGAAGGCGTCCAATCATCGTGGCATCTTCGGCGTCTTTCTGCATTCTTCTTCACGTGCACGTCTATCGCCGACCGCGACATCGCGACATCCTCTTTCCGCCAAGCACGACATGCACCACCGCCCCTACTTACGGCCCGCCGCCTGCTCGCTCTAAGGTTGACATCCGGATTCCAAGGGAAGACGTCATTGTTCCGGACTTTGCCACTTCTTGCTGTGCGCAAATCTCAAGTGATGTCGATCGGAGTCCACGGTCCACCCTGTGTTCAGAACCTGGTCCACCTCGGATATCAAAACTTTTTCCGTTTTCCGGAGTGCATTTCGTGCTCCGTGGATTAGGTTGGACCCTGACAAGTTGCTGGGACCCCATCCGCAGTTCTACCTCGGCGTTTACTGAGCGCATGCGTTGACCTCCACTTCAGCGATCCTTTGGCCTGGCATGGTTCTGACCCGCCATCGCGCTCCTTCCATCGCCGCCCTCTCTTCGAGAGTGATAGCAACCTTTGCAAACTGACGACCACCGGGATATAAAGCCTGCAGCCTCTGTGCTCGGTATCGTCATCCGTCCCATTCATCCTAAACAGTCTGCCTCACCTAGCCTCTCGATATCCGCGGCCCGATCTGCTGCGCTCTTCCCTGCGTTATAATTGACTGTCCCTCGATATCGTCAAATACATTTTCGTCCCGGAGCAAGACTATTGACCAAGCCTCCGCAATGACCTCTGCAGCAGCAACATCGTGGGTTGGCACCCTCCTCAACCAAGCCTCGAGCGGCAAGATCTTCCCACGTCCCGACCAGCGCCCGGACTTTGTGCTTGCTTCGCTGCTCAAGTCGACGCCTCCGTCCTCGGCAACGTCTACTAAGCAGGCTTCTGAAACTTCGTCGATATATGAGCAACCTGCTCACAAGGATGTAGCGAGTGAAGCGTCGATGAACCCTGTCCTGGGCACCGACCTCGAGCAAGCCCTCTCGCAAGCACAAGGGACAAACACCCTGGCTCGTGTGGTCAGCCAGGCGCGCCAAGGTACAGAAAAGTCGGCAACATCAGAAGACGATGAGCATCTCATTGTCGGATGGTACGACGATGCGGATCCAGAGAACCCGCGCAACTGGTCAAGCGGCAAAAAGGCATTCGTCACCTTTCTCATTGGCCTGCTCACCTTTGGTGTCTACTCGGGCTCGGCGATCTACACGCCTTCCATCCCGGGCGTCATGGCCGAATTCGATGTCGGTCTCACCAAGGCCACGCTCGGACTTTCGCTCTTCATTTTGGGATATGCTATCGGTCCAATGTTCTTGTCGCCGTTGAGCGAGGTGCCAGCGATCGGCAGGAACTGGACCTACATCCCAAGCATGATCGTGTTTATCATCTTTAACATCGTCGCATCGGTGGCGCCAAATTATTCGACGCTCATGGCGATGCGCTTCTGGACCGGCTTCTTTGGCTCGCCGGCACTGGCAACCGGCGGCGCCAGCATCTCGGATATGTACGACGGTGTTGGCGTGGCGTTCCCAATCGCCGTCTGGGCTGTCGGCGCTGTCTGTGGTCCCGTCCTGGGACCGGTGATCGGCGGATTCAGCGCCATGAATCTGGGCTGGAGATGGCCCATGTGGCTGCTCACGATTCTGTCTGGTGCAACGACGATCGTGCTCGCCTTCTTGCTGCCCGAGACATTTGAGGGCTACATCCTCCTGCAGCGCGCACAGCGACTGCGCAAACTCACGGGCAACCAGCAGATCCGCGCGCAAAGCGAGCTGGATCAGCAGGCCACCACCGTCGCATCGCTCACCAAGGAGGCCCTGCTTCGACCGCTTATCATTTCGATCGAGCCGGTCGTCTTCTTTACGTCTCTCTATCTCGGAGTAGCCTACGCCTGTTTCTACCTGTTCTTCGAGTCCTTCCCCATCGTGTTCACCGAGGTGCACGGCTTCAATCTCGGCGAGTCTGGCTTGCCTTTCCTCGGCCTCGCCGCGTCGGGAGTGCTAACGCTTCTTGGCTACATATGGTACCTCAGCAAGTACTTCAACCCGCGTTTCCTCGCCAAGGCCTCCAAGGGTATCATCGTGCCTGAAGACCGGCTTTCGATCGCGCTGTTCGCGTCGTTCTTCGTTCCTTTGTCGCTGTTCGGCTTCGGTTGGACGAGCCGGGAAGACATTCACTGGATCGTGCCGATCATCTTCAGTGCCATCCTTCTTCCTGGCGTGTTCCTGCTCTTCCAGAGTATCTTGGTGTACCTGCCCATGTCGTACCCCAAGTATGCTGCATCGGTGCTGGCAGCGAATGACCTGATCCGATCTTCGATCGCCGCTGCCTTCCCGCTATTCGGCCACGCCATGTTCAAGAGCCTGGGAGTCGGCGTGGCTTGCAGCGTGCTCGGAGCCATTTTTTGCGTGCTCATCGTGCCGCTGTGGGCCCTGCACAAGTACGGCCATGTGCTGCGCAAGCACTCCAAGTATGCGCACGTATACTAGACTTTAAATCCTGATACCCTTCCCTTCGATTTCGCTGTGCCAGCTCCGCCTGACCTTCGCAATATGGAGTTCTGCCGGCACACGTGTACGAGCCTGTGCTGCAGCCGCGGATGTTCGTACCACGCGTCCGTGCCAGGAACTACAGCTTGCTGCTTGGCAGGGTGGGCTTGTGACCGGAAGCGAGCCGCGCGTTGACGGTGGTTGTGCGACGCCAGGCTCTCCATGCACCTGCGAGGAGGCCGCATGGAGGGACGAGCCACTGCAGCAGCCACCTGAGGCTGCCGAGACCGGAGTAGCTGTCGATCCACCTGGCGACCATCCTGTCGACCTGGATGCGAAGTGCGAGCGGCGTCTGCTTCTGGAGGCCCTTTGTCCATTCTGGCGCCTGGAGCTCGTTGTGGTCGTCCACCCTGTCGCCTAGATCTGCCGAGTTGTCGAGGATGGTGTCTGCATACACGAGCTTGTCGTCGAGCGGGAGCTGCGCTTCGAGCCTTTGCTTGGCGTCAGCTTCGGTGAGGCCCTTGGACTGGCCGTCGCGCGCAAGCATGCGGGTGAGTTGATCTTGGCGACGGCAGTAGACGAGCACGAGCTCGCCACAGAACTTCCATAGCCCAGCTTCGACGAGCAGCGGCGTATCGACGACGACGACCTTGTAGCCGCGCACCCAGTAGCCGATGAGCTTCCACACCATGCGACGGCGAATGGCGCCGTGGGTGATCTTGTTGAGCACCTTGGTCTTTTCTGGCGTTGCAAATGCAAGTCTTCCGAGTTCAGCGCGGTTGAGCGTGCCGTCGGATTCGTTGATGACGGTCGGACCAAAGGCGGAACGCAGCGCGGCGAGGGCGGGCTGACCAGGCTCCACCACCTCGCGCGCGAGCAAGTCGAGATCGATGATGGGAATGCCAGCTGGGTGGTTGGAGATGAGGTAGCTGGCGGTGGACTTGCCAGAGGCAATGCCTCCTGTCAGACCGACGACGAGCATGGCGGTGTGGATGAGTGGGGCAGACGAAGGTGGGATGGTGGGATGGAGGGATGAAGGGTAGCCAGAGCGCGTGTTCCGATTCGCACCAAGCGAGCGGAGGTGGTCCATGCGATGCGCTTTCACGAAAAATAGCCAATTTCATTTCAGCCAGGCGCTGCGGACCCATTTTCTCAGCACGCACGCACTTTGAGCCTTCGCCCATGCAGATGTCATTGACGTTTGACCGTGGCGAGGGAAATGGTGGGCTGTATGTTCGGGTTGATGACATTGAAACAGTGTGCGGAGGTCAGTGCAGCCAGCGGGTCGAGCATGCAGTGTGACACTGCATCGGATTGAGCTGCCGTGCCTCTGGCCTTCACAGCGGAGAGGCCTCTAGCGCAGCACTGGGTACGAGGCCCAGCTCGCGAAGCGTCTTGTTTGCATCACTTGCGTCAAAGAACTTGCGAGGGAAGGTGGTCGAGAACTGGTATCACGAAAGCGGTGCAAAGGTGTGAGCAACGAGGTCTGCGCCGCGGGGGCCAAGTTGTTTCTGCTTACTTTGAGCTGTGCACTGCCGCCATCTTTGCCTTCGGCTCGGATCTTGTCGGCGACGTCGGCGAGTGTAGCGTCGGCCGAGAGCGTGCCCATCCACATGCCCCCGGGCGCGCGCACCCTGAGGCGTGCGTCGTTGGCCGAGCTGGTCGACGCCTGCGGACCTGCGCTTGCTGCGAGCGCTGCAGCGCTAGGACCCGCCGGCGCGGCAGCTGTGGGAGCGGGCTTGCCCTCGCGAGCCGCCTTGTCGGCGGCAGCCTTTGCGGCGCGTTCGCGCTTGTCCGCCTCGATCTGGGCCTTGACCTTGGCCTTGAAGGCGGCATCGTCGGCCTTTTCCTTGCGCTTGCGCTCTGCCTCCTTGAGCTGCTCCTTGCGCTTCATCTCCTCCTTGACCTCGGTGAGGTCTTGGCCCGCCTTGCGACGGATCTTTTCGTTGACGCGCGACTCCTCTGCGTCGATCTTGCTCTGTGCGGCACGCTTGGCTGCGAGCTTGGCGCGTAGCTCCTCGAGCTTGGCCTTCTTCTCCTCCTCGGTGAGCGGCTTGATCTCTTCGGTGCTCTCTTCGAACGACGTGTGACCCGACTTTTCGGCGTGGAACTGGGCGAAGGCGGGCGACTTGAAAGTCTTGCCGCAGTCGGAGCATTTGATGGACTGTGAGTTGAAGTGTGAGCAGAGCGAAAGTCAGTCGATGCGCCTCCTTAGAGATGGCGGGAGTCAGGCTAGTGTGGTCTGGACTCACCTTGGCCTCGCCGACATTGTTGACGGCGTCGTCGGCAGCCTGCTGGCCCTTCTTGGAGACTAGGTCGGCAAGGGCGGCTTCGTCCTCCTCGTCATACTGTGGTGCATCATGGCATCAGTGTGTGCTTCTGCGGGAGATAATTCGTGGCTGGACTTGGCTACTCACATCATGACCTCCGGCGCCGGAGGACGTCGCGGCAGCAGCGGAAGCAGACTTGTAGTCTGTCGGTACGGGGCTGTCTTGGTTGGCTTCTAGGTGATCGAGTGCGGGCTGGAGACCGGCATTCTTGGTGGCGTACAGGGCCCAATCGACTCGCTCTGGGGTGAAGCCCATGTCGAGAACTGAGCCGAGACGAGCACAACAGCAGACGTCAGAGACAGTCAGTCGCGCTTCCCGAGCGCGGGGGTAGGGATCGTCTTGGACTTATTACTCACGCATGCTGCGATCGCCCATCTTGTATTTGCCTTTGGGTGCGTGCTGTGTGATGGTAGCGAGAGACGGGAATGGAAGATTGGGGATGAGCTGCTGATCGACCGAGCAGGGCGGCTACACACACGACACTTTCCTGCGCATTTGGCCCGTTCGCCTCCACATGAGGCGCCCCACGCGCAGCTGGGCTTTGTTAAGGCGCGACTGGACCCTGCTGCGGCTTGGTTGCGAGACCCGGGCGCGTCAGTTTTTCTTGGAAGGTTGCCAAGCGCTCTTTGGCTTGAGGATGAATGCCTGCTCCTTCCCTTGAGAGACGATCAGCAACACACGAGCCGCAAAGAAAGCAACCCGAGGGGCTGGAGAGCGCAGCACTGCACGGAGAAGCCGAACCATGCCGCAAAAGGAGATCATCTACCTCTCTTTTGGCTCCTTTGCCAATCACATTTCGACGCACTTTTGGAATGAGCAGCAGTCGTACTTTACCTACGACCAAGCTGACGACGCACATGCAGGTCCATCTGGCTCAACGTCGAGGAGCACAGACGAAGATGAGCCGCTCGTCGACCACGACGTCTCTTTCCAAGCAGGACAGACGCTCTCAGGCCACGACACGTACAATCCGCGAGCTGTGATCTTCGAGACCGAGCACGAGTTTGGCGCCCTGGCCAAGCTCAACGCGCTCTACGAGTCTTTCCCTCCCGACTCGACCGACCGAAATGTTGCATTGGATAGTCTGCAGAGCTGGGGCGCCGAGGCCCAAGTGATCGCAGCGCAGAAGATCCGCAAGAGCGACTATCAGCGCCGTCTCGAGCTCGAGGACCAAGGTATCGATCCCGGCTCTTCCGACGACGAAGCCGAGGATGGGGGATCCGATGGAGAAAAGGTTGCAGCGACGCCTGCGAAAGCCGCGCAAAGGCTCAAGCAGAGGCGCATGCATCGCTTCTGGTCCGACTATTCGCGCACCTACTTCCACGCCAAGTCGCTCGTCTCGGTCGGCGGCGAGCTCACGGTACCCATGCTCGGCTCGTACAACTCTGCAGAGTCACCCGAAGCCAACGACGGCAGAGTGCGCTTCGAGACCTTTTCGCAGGGAGCGGAACACTTTGACGAGCTCGAAAAGCGCAGCGAGGTGCTCGACACCAATCTGCGCTGGTTTGCCGAAGACGCCGATCTGCTGCAAGGCTTTCAATACACCATCGGAACCTCCGACGCATTCGGTGGCCTCGGTGCCAAATATCTCGAGAGTCTCGTCGACGAATTCCCCAAGATCACGCATCTCGTCTTTGGCTCTGCCTGGGGCAACACGACGCTCATCCAAGACGATCAAGACAGCGCCGATGCGCCACGGCATAACAGGCTCGCCCGGATCCGCATGATGAACAATCTGCTCTCCTTGGTACAGCTGATGGAGCATTCATCCGCCCTTGCACCCATCCACGTTCCACATGGCGGACAGAGCACTCAGGTCGGCGCTGACTGGCAACGCTACCTCGGACGCATGCACCTCGACGACATGCACCATGCATCTGCCCTCCTCTCGGCACACATCGAGACGGCGACACTCGGAACGCGCCTCCGTTCGCGCACCGACACTCTCGGTTCGCTCGTCTCGCGTCTCAACTGGCGTCGCGATACCAAGCTTGTTCACCTCGGTGGTGTGCTGCCCGTTCCATACCCGGTGCCCCTGTCGTCATCCTCCTTTGAAGCCACTTCGTCGTCGACGGACCCGGTCGATGCACTGCTCCACTCCTACGGCTACGGCGACCGCGATTCGAGACAGCGCCAACGCGGTGCGCCCCTCGAGTCACAGTCGCAGCTGGCCGCGCGCGGGGCCCAACTCGCTCTCTCCTCGTGGATCGATCTCTCGCTTCCACCTTCGCTCGGCGGCGGAGCGAAGCGACGCAACAAGCTCGTGTACAATCTCCAGCGTCCCTTCTCGCACCATGCCGTGCTGCGCAACAGCAACCTTGACGACGCAGTGCTTGGCTTGGGCATGCTCGACTCGCTCCTCACCCAAATCCGCGAGCCGTTCGGCCAGGGAGTCTATGTCCCGCAGTCGTACAACATTCTCTCCTCCTTCCCCAACTTTTTCTCCCATCTCGACGCGCAGGGAAAGCCCATTCCTCGCACGTCAAACGCCGTCGCGGATCCAGCAGCGGAAGGCAGCCACAAGGTGCCACGACCAAAGCACACAGCGATGCTCTCGTCTCTCAGCGCCACTCCCTACACCGTACACCTCCTGCGCGACGCCAGGAATACGCTCAGCGAGGCACTCGGCGGTCACGCGCCCTTGGCAGCGTACGGTCTCGATGCCGAGGATGCCAAGGACAACCTCAAGGAGATCCGCGAGCAGATCGAGGGCTGGATCGACACTTACAGCGTCGACAACGATGCCAACAGCGCCGACGACGACGATCAAGGTGGCATGGGCACAGACGAAGAGTATGACGTCGATCACAACCCAGACGACGGCTTGGACTGGGACCTGTAGCCTTTCTCCACCATGCAACGCCATACCACATTCACTAATGACAATACAATGCGCAAACATGCGATTTTCCGCAATGGATTCATAGTCTACTGCCAAGAATGGCATGCATGACTTGCGGCTGAACCCAAGGTGATGCCAGGCTAGATGCCGTAGGCGCGCACTCTGGAAAAGTGAAAGGGGCGCGAATGCTTTTGCGGCAACGGCAGCACCTCGCCATTGGTGAGGTTGACGCTGTGATACTCGAGCAAGTCGAGCTTGTTCCATCGGCCTCGAGTGGTGCTGCGCAGGCCAAACACCATGCGGAAGGCGTACTTTTGCATGCTCTTGTCGCGCAAATCCTCGACGACCACCTTGGGGCCGCTGGGCCTGCCTTCGTCCTCGTCGTCTTCCAGACCTTGCTCAAACAGCTCCCATCGACCCTTGGAGAATCCTTTGGCCTTCAAGCCTGGTTCGAGCTTGCGCACCGTCTCGGAAGGCGCATCGGTGGTGAGCAGCGAGAGCGCCGTGCCGTCCGGAAGGAATCGGATGGAGCGGTAGAACTCCACCACGTGGATCACGCGGATCCACGCATCCTCGCTCATGCCCGGGCGAGCATAGTGGCACGCGGCGATGTAGCATCCGTTGAGACGCACGCGCGGCTGGTTGATAAACACTGTGCGCCAGTCCGAGTGATGGCGCTCGTACAGACTGGCCAGGCTGGAGGCTGCATCGAGGATGGGCGGATAGTAGGTCTCGCGCACAATCTCGCGCCACAGCGAGGGCGCTTTGGTCAAGAGGCGCATCTTCCAACACGTGCGTCCGAGCATCTCGAGCGATTGCCAGTCTGCGCCGCCTAGCACGACGCCGATGCCCAGCGGCTGCTTGCGAGCGATGACGCCAGTGGCGTTGGGCTCGGACGTCTTGTCCTTGTCATGTTCGCCTGATTGTGGCTCGGAGTGTGTGTCCGCCTTGGCATTGTTGTAGCCTGTTTCTTTTCCGGTCGAAGAAGGGTCAGGCGCCGTGTGGATGCCGTTAGCCGTTGAGCTCGCAGCGCCAGCGGGGGCAGGTTTGTGGGGTTTGGATGCGGCGCCGGTAGTTGGGTTGGGGTTTGCGGTACTACGGCCAGTCGATACAGCTGCAGCAGCGTCCGCGGCAGCCTGCTCCTCGGGTGAAGGTTTGATCTTGACGACCTTGGCGCCTCGCCTTCCTCTAGGCGCGATGATCATGCGGAGGATGTGGAGCAAGATCTCGTCGGGCAATCTTGCGATGGGCATGCTCTTCTCCTCGTCCTCGGGAGCCAAGGCGATCGTGCTGAAATCTCTTTCTCCGCCGCGCTCGATGGACATGGAGTCGAAGAGCTTGGCCAATTCGTCGGGCCGCAATTCGTGCGCTTTGTCTTGTCTTTCTGTGGACGTTGTTGGAGCCCTACTTGCCGTTTGGTCGTCTAGAGACGCGCGAGGCTCGGTGCCGTTGTAGGACAGGCCCCTGGCCTTTGCCTCTGCTTCTTTGGCCTGACGTTCTTTGATGGCGACGTAGCGGTGGTCGTCAAAGTCGAGCGCCTTTCGCACCTTGTCTGCGATGGCGGGACTGGAAAGGAGGGCGTCGTTCTGTTGTGTCGAGGAGTTTGCGAGGGCGGGGTCGGTGAGGAGGAGATGCGCCCTGTGGTAGAGACGATCTGCGTGCGAGTTGAGCTTGAAGGCGCGGCGGTAGGATTCGAGAGCCTGGTCGAGCTGACCGCTGCGTTCCATCTCGACGGCGCGGGCGTAGGCTTCGACGGCGCTGCGCATGCCTGCTTGTGTGGCTTCGCTGGCGTGGGCGGGAGCATCGTGGGTGGCGATGATGTGCGGCGCGCGCGATGATGCGGACGATGATGATGACGCCGAAGGCTGGGAGGCCGTTTCGGATGCGGGCTGGCGCTTGGGAGCGAGTGGGCGAGAAGAGGAGGTGGAAGAGCTAAAAGGAGCTGCCGAGGCGCGAATGGATGCCGATGAGATCGAGCCATCGACTTTCTGGTCGGACGAGTGGTGAGGTTGATCTTGCTGTCGTACGAGGGGGGAAGGCAGATCGTGAGATGATTGTGATGGCGGTGGACGACGCGGCAGCCTGTGGGCAGCCTTGGAGTACTTGAGCGCTGCAGGCGCATAGATCTCTGCCTCGGGGAAGGGGAGGGAGTGATCTTGTGGTAGAGCCGAGGATTGCTGATCTGCAGCGAGGTCTGTGTCATTGTCGCTTGCTTCATGGCCTTGTCGGTGTGTGGGTGGCAGGGGGGCATGCGCCTCGGATGCAGAGGAATTGGCGGCTGGATGTAGCAGCGTCGAGGTTGAGGTGTGTGCTGTATGCGGATCGGGGCGCGGTTGCGTGTTTGCGGGCGGGTGGGAAGGTTGGGCGTAGGTAAGATGGCCTCTCGCCTCGACCTCCTTTTTCCATTCGGAACGGAATCGCTCTAGCTCGTCGTCGACAAGATCGGAGGACTGCGTTTTAGCAATCGCAGGCGCTTGATGGGAGTGAGGCTCGAGAGGCGTCTGCGATCCGCTCTGGTCTGCGAGCGGCGGGGTGGAGGAGGGCGAGTCGGGTTGGAGAGCCTCATCGTCTGGGTCTGGATCCGAGAGCGGATCTGGCGGTGGGGTTCGCACCGAGGCGGCAGCCTCTGAGCGGTCCATGGTTGGCGACTTGGTGTGAGAGTGGGAGAAAAGCGATGCCGAGGCCGAGGCCGAAGCGAAAGCGAGGGGACAGACTGAGTATATAGCAAGGCAGGAGCAACGGTCGGGCGGAGGGAAGAGCGGAGAGACCCTGACGGGACGTACAAGCTCAAGCTCGAGCTCGAGCGCCGCCTCCACACTCGCACCAGGCCGGCACGCCAGTCGGGGTGGCCGACTCTGCCTTCCGTGCGTCTTTGGTGCGGCTTCCAAAAAAGACGCCGAACGGCCATCGCTGAGCTCAGTCACGGAGAAATGAAAAATGAAAATGCGGTCCAGGAGGTCCCAGCCCGATCGATGACCACCGCTCGACAGGTTGACAATCGGATCGCATGCAGGCCCGATGGAAGCGCGATGGAAGTGAGCGGCATCCGACCCCAAAGACGTCGGAGCATCATCACACGGTTGGCGCCTCCTCTCGCCATCACCACGACAACCCACCCGCCTACACATCCACCCGCTGCGCCCCCCCTTTCGTCATGCAATCACGCGGCCACTGAAAAGACACTCGATCCAACCGCTTCCGGCTTCTTCCCGCTCGCACACATACACGAGAGCATGGCCGCGCCAAGGACGCCCTTTTCAAAGCGTCTCGATGACCACTCCCAGACGCACAACCTCAAACACTCCAACGGCGAATTCGGCGAGCAAGTGTCTCCGCACACAATGAGCGCCGCCGTGGACCAGGCTCACATCCAGCTCATCCAGCAGGTCCAGCACGAACTTCGCACCCCCGTCCACGGCCTTCTCGGCCTCGTAGAGGACATCCGCTCCGACATCCGTTCCGCAGCCTTCCAGGACCAACTTACGCGCAGATCGCTCCTCATCAAGACGGAATCGCTCTCCGGCCTCGCTGAGCGCCTCCAAAACGTCCTCGACGACTTTCGCGACTTTGCCACCGAGACCATTCATGCACGCGAGGCAGAGGAGGATCACGAGGTGTTTCCCGAGCAGCCCGTCGACCTCGGCGACCTGCTCGATTCCGTAGCTGCACAGGCTTGGAACGAACAGGTGCGCCAGATCCGCGCAGAGGATGGCGAGGATGCTCGCCTCCCACCACCACCCGAACTCATCCTCCAGACCGACACCAGCCTGCGCGGATGGAAGACGGTCGTATCCACAAAGCTCGTCAAGAAGCTCGCGCGCAAACTCATCTCCAACGCCCTCCGCTTCACCACCCAAGGCTTTGTCGAAGTATCCCTCTCGCCCTCGGTCGCATCCTCGCCCTCCAGCGAACACGACCTCTCCTTCCCCTCTTCGCCCCCGTCTTCGTCCGACACCGCACCTCCCGCAGCCGACCAGCATTTCGTCGATCTCGTCGTCGAGGACACGGGCGAAGGCATGACCGAGCACTTTCTCTCCCACCGCCTCTTCGAACCCTTTGTCAAGGCCGACAACTTCAAGGCTGGCGCTGGCCTCTCCGTCACGCTCTGCTCCACCATCGTCCGTCGCATGGGCGGCTCCATGCACGTGTCCAGCGACAAAGGCAGAGGCACCATCGTCACCGTAAAGATCCCCGTACAGAGCCTCCCACAACCCTCCGTCGCTCCCGCACCACCATCGCAGTCGGACCAGCTCATCTACCTCTACGGCTTCGAAGGCCCCGGCCTCCAACGTCTCGCCCAGGTCATCTCGGCACAGCTCGCCACCTTCGGCAACCTCTACTGCACCTCGTACATCCAGGACGCCGACTTCCTCCTTTTGCCCGAGGAGGTCTGCTTCGAGGTCAGCGGCGGCATCGACGCCATCCTCGAGCAAACCAAGCCCGGCGTCAAGATTGGCGTACTACAGGCGCACGAAGATGCAGGCATCGAATACGCCGCTTTCAAGAATGGCAGTCGAAGACCCACCTTTGTCACGCGCAAGCCGTTCGGTCCACGATGCTTCGCCAACCTCCTCCGCCTGGCCGAGCAAGACGATCACCAGGACACCAGAACCTCTTCGGAAGCCGTGAGGAAAGAGCACGGTCACCTCGGCTACACGGCGCCTCCAAACCCCAACGAGCCATCCAAGCTGCTCCCAGAAGGCTCGGGCACGCCGTTGACCAAACGCGCCCGATCGCCAAGCACGTCGGCAGAAGCCCAATCCGATCCAGACAACAACGACCTGCAACCAGATCGGATGGCCCGCGTTGCCGACCAGGAGAAGCGCAATCGCGAGCGAGGCTCCTCGCTGCCCAGCGGCGACAAGCTGGCCGACCTCGTGGTGAGTCCCGACGCCATGGACCAAGTTCTGCGTGCGCCGCATCCCAAGCCACGCATCGAGCCGCCTCCGACGCCTGCGCCCGTCGCCCCGGCGACGTTGCCATCAGACTCGCCATCTCCTCCTCGTGCTTCTGCGCCCAGACCCAAGCCCAAGTTCAGCGTGCTTTGCTGCGAAGACAATCCGCTCAACATGCGCATCCTCACCACCATGCTGCGCCAGAGCAAGATCGACTTCCACGAAGCCGTCGACGGTGTCGAGGCAGTCGAGCAGTTCAAGAAGCATCTTCCCGCCGTCACGCTTCTCGACATCAACATGCCGCGCATGATGGGCTTCGAAGCATGCGAACTCATGCGAAAGCACGTAGCCGAACGACTCACTGCCGAGGAGCGCGAGCAGAGGATGTTCAAGATCGTCGCCGTCACCGCGCTCTCGGACCGCTTCCATCAGCAGAAGGGTCTCGAATGCGGCATGGATGCCTGGTTTTCAAAGCCTCTCAAGATGCGCAAGCTGAAAGACGACCTCGCCAGCTGGAAGTCCAGCTTTGAAGACATGACCCTCCCGACGGAGCAAGCTGACGCCTAGACCACCAAAGCTCGGCCGCGCCCTTTCCGCCTCGTGCGGCAGACCAACCGCTAGATGCGCTCGCTTGGGAGCACCTCTGGTTGATTTCGTGTCACCGATCCCGTGCATGTACGTCCACTCATGTATTTGTATCTTGCTGCTATCTATGCACTCAGTCTAGACTGCGCTATGTGTAGAGCTCCTCCAGACCCTTTTGGTACTGGCAAGCTGGTGCAGCTGAGCCGACGCCGCCGAGAGTCAAACAAATCGAAGTGAAGCGAGACGAATCCTGCACATCGGTAAGTGAAGGAGACGAGATCGGGCAAATTTGAATCCTTGTCTCTCGCCTCCTCAAATTTCGCAACACGGCTCCAGTGCCCACCGGCGCACGAGACTGCAATCGACAGATCTGGAAGCGAGAAGATTTCGCGCCTGCATCATTCTCCGCGCCTCTTCAGACCACCATCTAGCTACACCGTATTCAGCGTCGACAAAGCGAACCAAGACGAAGATCAACATGAGTGACTGGGGTATGTGTAGGCACGCTCGTCTCTTCCTACAGAAAGTGTGAAGCAGATAGCTGACGCCCAGCCATCTCGTCTTGCGCTTCCCGTCTCGTTGCCCTTTGTTCCGACTCATCGCTCATGCGCAGAAAACGACGACGAGCCGCAGCAGGTTGCTCCGCCTCCGAAGCTCTCCGCAGCTGGTCGCAAGAAGTTCGACGACGAAGACGTCGAGGAGGAAGTCAAGGTGAGTGCTCTGCTGAAACTCGCACGCGCCGCATGCAGCAATGCTCTGCTAACGCTGCCTTGCATCTGGGTATCGCGATTGTAGGATGACTGGGAGGAGGAAGACTCGGAGCCAGAAAAGCCCAAGGAACCCGTAGCACTGCCGCCGCGCAAGAAGAAGAGCGTCAAGCAGAAGATCGCCGAGAAGGAGGAGGAGGAGCGTCTGCGTCGCGAACAGGGTCTCGACGTAAGTTCAAGTTGCACCGTCACGCGCATCCTCTAGCGCACATACTAACACGCACACCGTCCCGCATGCTGCTATCGCTTCGAAGGACGACGAGGAKGAGGAGGACTGGGACGCTGACCCGATAGCAAAGCGCCGCATGGAACGCGAGGCTCAGCTCAAGTCCGACGTCGAAAACGCCGCCAACCTGCTCGGAACCGCCAAGATCGCCGACGGTAAGCATGCCACTGCACACCTTTACCGGCTTCACGCCCGCCCTTGACCGCGACTGACGATCCCCTCTCCCGACGTCTTGCCGTGCCTTTTCCTTGCCTGCCAGATGGCCTGTCGAAGCTCAAGTCGATGAACCCCTCGAGCAAGGAGGACTGGGAGTCGTTCGCCGACCTCATCTACGCCGAGCTCATCAAGAAGCAGTCGTCCAAGCCCGGCTTCGAGAAGCACTTTGTGTCGCACATGTACAAGAACATCGCTTCCACCCTCCGAGACGTCGACATCCGCAAGTCCTCCACCATGCTCAAGGCGTACGCAGAGGACAAGGTCAAGGCCGAAAAGGAAGCCAAGAAGTCCGGCGGCCAGAAGAAGGTCGCCGCTGCCAAGCCCAAGACTGTCGGCACGGCCAGCGCAAAGAATGTGTACGTTGCTCCGTTTTCTGCATGCACGGCGCGCCTCACGTACTCACTGCTTTCCGCTCTTATCTCTTGCCATTCTTCTCACATTCACACCTGTCAATGTCTGTACAGCATCGACACGCGAGCATGTAAGTGCCTATCAGACGTCGCCGTTTCCCAGCATCCTGGCACTAACCCTGACTTTTCTCTACGTGTCATCACGACCCGACAGACGGCGACGAGGCACTCGACGACGACCTCGACTTCATGTAAAGCGCTGCAATGCTACTCTTGCATATTCATCCACTTCCGCCTTCCCGGGCCGCGCTCACCGGCGCGGCCACGGGCTCCAAGAATGCTCGTTCGGACCACACAGACGCAGGCAGCAATTTGTTGCCTCAACTGCTCACGCGTGACAAAATGAGACCGTTCAGTCTCTGCTCATCTCGTTCCACATCTTTTACAATCAGTCCCACACAGGCACAGACATTAAAAAAGGGGCCAAGGAACCACAGATTAGAGATTTCAGCAACATGCAAAGTAGCATCAGGACCCAAGACAAGAGAACCGATAGAGTGGAGGAGAAGGACAGGAGACAAGACAAAATGGCGAGCGTCTATTGAAAGTAAGAGAGGACGAAACGAAAGGTGCGACGCAATCGAGGCTGCAGCGGTCCATTTACGTGTATGACTTGCGAGCGTCGCCGAAAGACAAGACTTAGGCGGGCGACATGTCGACCTCAGGCGCGCCATCCGATGGCATGCGCTTCATCGGCGGCGGGAGCACCATGCTGATCGGCGAAGTCTCGCGCGAGAGCGCCTGACCGAGCGAGGGCAGCGTGGTGTTATGCTCGCGGTCGCGCTGAGCCGAGTGGATGGGCGTCATGCCAAAGCCGCCTAGCCCCTTTTTGCTGCGCGCGACGCTAGGAGCGCCCGCTGCAGGCGAGTTGGACGCGCTCCCAGGGATCTGCGAATAGACGCTGGTCGGGCTCGACTCGGCGCTCACCAAGCCGTTTCCTGGATGGGCAAAGGCGTTTCCGATCGAGCTCTGTCGCGAATGCGATCGAGACGACAGTGCGTTGGGCAAGCTTGCGAGCGGGTGCAAGGTAGGCGAGCCATGAGGCGATCCCGAACGGCTGGCAGGCGCCGAGCGTGAGCTGCTGCGCATGCTCTTCTTGTGATCGCCGTAGGGATGGTAGTTGTAGGCGTGCGTGTGGTGGTGGCCGGGGAGCGGGTGATGACTGCCGTCGCGATGAGAGGCGCTGGCGGGGAAAGGCGGGGGCAGAGTCCTCGAGGATGGATCCGCCACCAGATGCGGGTAAGACGAGCGCGACGGATGCGGCTTGAGGCTGCCCATGCCGCCGTCCAAGATGTCTTCGATCTTGGTGCGACGCGAGCCTCGCTCGGCATCTGCCGCGGGCGGATGCGCAGGCGTGAGATGGTAGGCCGAGAGGCTGGTGCTCGAGTTGAGCGAAGGGACGCCTTTGCTTCGCGAGCCAAAACTGTGGCTGCGCGAGAGCTTGGGCGGCATGTGCGAGGGCTGCGCAGGCGAAGTGGAGGCCGAGGTGGAAGCCGAGCCGCTGGCATGGGAGTCGAGCTCGACGGCGGTGCTTCGCTCGCCCGAGGTGCTGGAGGGGATGGCGTGGGAAGAGGAGGTGGGCTGCATGGGAGTTGCGCCGAGCGAGGAGAGGTGGTGATGCGAGCGGGAGCGCGCGGAAGATTCCATGTAGGGATGCGAGCGGTGTCGGTGGGAGCCGTGGTGACCGAGACCAGACTGATGCGCGGGGCCCTCGTGGGAGTGATGGTGGTGCGGCGGCGAGAGGCCGTGGGCGTGGCGGCCGTGGAGGACGGGGGAGCCGGGACGCGAAGTGTAGGGGCTGTTGGGGACGGTGTTGCCGCCGAGCAGGCTCATGTTGCGCAGAGGGCCGAGTACGGGGCTGCTGCTCGGGGTCCAGTGGGAGTTGCTGTGCGTCGCGGGGGGCGCGGGGCCGGAGGGTGCGAGCGGCAGACGCGGGGGCTTGGCGTCGTCATGCAGGGAAGCGGCATGCTCCGACTCGGAGGCGTAGTCGTCTCCGTGCAGGTGGTCGTCGGGCGAGAAGCGCGGCGAGTGTTCGACGCTGCTAGGCACGCTGGAAGAGGTGGAGGCCCAACCGCCGGCGCCATGGTGCGAGCCGTGCTGGTAGTAGCGGTATAGGCTTGGAGGAGGGTGGCTGCCGTTGTAGCCGGCGTGCGAAGGGCGCGAATATCCACACTCGGCGGCGTAGCGGTTCTGGGCGGGGCGAGCGAGGATTGCCGAGGCGATGCGGTCATTGTACTTGCGGTGGCAGTCCTCGTGCGAGCAGCCGGGCGGCGTGCTCTCGCCGGACGAAGCGGGAGGAGGCGGATAGGCGTAGCTTGCAGAGGTGTGGCCGGACCCAGCGGCGGCAGTAGGGCCGTGGGCGTGGTAGCGGTCGGTGTAGGCGTCGGGAGCGTAGTGCGAATGGTAGGCATGAGGCGGGTGAGGACCAGAGCGACGGCCCTCGCGCTCGGCACGCTGGAGTTCGTGGAGCTCGTCGCTGGCGAGCATGGCGAGTGCCGACATCTCGCCGGTGCGGGCGGGGCGAGCGGCGTGGCGGAGCTCGCGATCCGAGTCGCTGTCCTCTGCGTCTTCCTCGGCGCCTAGCTGCCAGCGGAGCGACCTGTTGGCATGTGCGGATCCGGGCTTGGAGGAAGCGGAGGCGATGGCAGGAGCAGCGCCGTGGGGGGAAGAAGGGTTGGAGCCGGACTTGCGTGCGGCTGCCTTCTTGTCATCGGCATGTGCGCCGCCCTTTTTGGGATTGGCGTGGATGCGCACGTGTCGGGTGAGTTCATCGGAGCGGCTGAAGCGCTTCTCGCATCCAGGATGGGTGCAGACGTGGGGCTTTTCGCCGGTGTGGGTGCGAATGTGGCGGGTCTGGTGTTCGAGACGGTAGAAGGCGCGCGAGCAGAGCGGACACTTGTACGGACGAGGGATCTGGGACTTGTCCACGGTGTAGTTGCTGGCGGTGATGGTGGCTGCGTCGGCGGCTGGATTCGCCATGTTGGGAGCGGTGGGCTGTGCCATTTTGGAAGCGCGGAATGCCACCAGGCCAGGGGCGCTGTGGTTGGGACCCGAACTGGGCGAGTCAAAGCGACTGACGGTGGAGATCAGCAGCAGTGATGGGTGGATGCGGTGATTCGGTCAAGCTGCTCGATGGTCAGGGTCGCGCAGTACAGGCGGTATGCGTCGGATTGGGCCAAGCAGACGAACGAATGTACAGTCGATTGGAATGCGTACGGGCGAGTCGAGCAGTGTGGATGCGAGACGCAAGACCAGTTGTGGATATGGCGAGGTGGAAGATGGAGGTGAGTGCGAGTATGATACCGGTGGTGAGCAGGAGGCAAGGCGACGGAATGGTTGTACGGACAGGTGGGAGGAACGGAGAGGGCGGCGGCGGCTGAGCATCGATAAGCGGTGGGGACTGCGGTCTGGAGCCACTCTTCGGACGGGCTGAGGAAAAAATGAGGGGCAAGGCGGAGAGGCGAGAGAGGCGAAAGGCGGGAGAGGGGAAAGGGAAATTGGGGGGGGGGGAAAAGAATTGCGGCAGCCGAGCTTTGCAACGGACGACTCGGAGGCAGCGAGCGGAGCGGCACGGAGGCGGACAGGCAGGGCCAAGACCAGAGCGCGAGACGAGAGCGTGAATGTGCCGAAGCGGGCGCTCTTGAACCGGTTGCGTGCGTCGACTTGCTGAGCCGCGCTATCGTTTTTTTCACCAGCGCCACTGCCGCCTCCCCTCTTCTCCCCCCCCCCCCCCCCCCCCCCCCCCCCCCCCCCCCCCCCCCCCCCCCCCCCCCCCCCCCCCCCCCCCCCCCCCCCCCCCACCTGCGTCGGGCGCTGCTGGGACCTAAGCTTATCATGCAGTCCGCTTACCAGCCCCACAAAGCCAAGCCAAGCCAAGCCGATCCAAGTCAAGTCGCACTCGAACCCAGATGCACGCGGCGCCCACTCTTTGGCGTGGCCCTCTCTGTGGCATCGTCGGCACTTGCATTGAAGCATCCGCTCTGCCCCACCTGCGGACGGAATGGCCGACTGCGCTTACGACACTTCGCAAACGAGGGAGCGGGAGCGTCAGCGAGGCGGCCAGGCGGATCGGAGGGGGCAGGTTCGCTGACGAGCAAAGCGACCGGAATGTCGTCTGGATGCGCTCAGTTGGCGAGATCGCCCGGGCGGTCGGTCGGTCGGTCGGAGTGCTGTCTGCGACTGTGGGGTATACGCCGACAAGGTCCTAGCGTCGATTCCCTGTGTTTGGGTTTGGAAAACTTTTCCGTCGCGAACCACGCAGCTCGACGCACGCACGCATCCAACCCAGAGTGACAGCACTAGGCGAAATTTGCCGAGGCGGACCAGCGAGTGGGATGGGCAGGTGGGGGCGGGGGAAAGTGACGACGCTCATCTTCCACCCGAGCCAAGCCGCCCTTGGAATTGGAAATTTTTTCGAGCCTGACGCAGCATCCGCTCCGCATCCGCATCAGCATCCGCTTCTTTCCGCCCGCTGCAACACGTTCTGCCCGTCAAGTCGCCTCGAGCAGCATACAGAGTAGTACGATAAGTCGTCGTCGAACAATAGACGCCCGCTTCCACGCGCGGTCGAGCAACAGCCGGCTCAGCTCAATACGAAACCGGATTGAATGCGCCGACGCCAAAAGCTTTGTCGTCGTCGTCGTCGTCGGCTGTGCTTTCGACCGATGATGGTCGACCGCAGCCCGCGCATTCGGTCATCCTGGTTTACAAAAGTTACGCGTCAGCGCCAACCCAGCCTTTCGGCCCGGTCCCGCTGCAAAGTTTGACCCTTTACCACGAAATTCGAGCCGCGTCCGGCTGCCAACCCCACGAGCCAATGGCGGGGGAGCAACCACAATTTCAGCCTGACGCGCGAAACTTTCCTACAAAACTTGCACACCCTCCCTGGGGTTTTCGCCGATCTAGGGCGGGCCCTGGTTGAGGTCGTCCAAGTCCTCGGCGCTAACTTATGCGTGCCAGCATCTCGCTTGACTGTATCGGCGCGGCAGTCCTGATGGCTTGGCTCGCTCGCCGAACGAGTGACAGGGACATTTCGCCGGTCCTCTCTTCCCAGTATCGCGGTGCGATCGTCTGGACCAGCTCACCACCCCGATTCTTCATCGATACCATACAATATGACAAGCACAAGCACACGCACACACAAAACAAGCGTGAAGCAGCAGGCAGCGTCACAAGATGAAGCGGCGTCATGAGGTGCAGCCCAGCCGAGCTGACCGCCCGCGGTCCGTCTGCCTCCACGCGTTCCATCGGAGCTTTTTTTTT